AGACCGGTAGAAAACATAAACGGACATAACAAGACGTGTAATGTATCCCATGCATATATGTAAATACACACCTATGACACACTCTTGTATGCATGCACTCATCGGCGTCTACATTTCAAAGCTTCGCGCTCATGAGTTTAGGGTTTAGGGTTTAGGTTTTTAGGGTTTGGGGTTTCAACGAGGAGGGCTTAGTTGTAGTTGTTAAGCGTCTTGGCGCAGTAGTTTGGCTCAGAAGGGCGCACCATGATGCATCGCCCACACCACTTGGGGGTCAGATGCAGGAAACTGAATAGTTGTCAATATTCTCCTGTTGCAAGCCTATAGGATGACAGTACATTCTACTCAACACTCCCAGCGTACTTGCGAATGAAGCCCTCTACCCGGCCAGGACAGCATAGCTTGGATGCAAAACAGGGGTCGCAGAGAACCCTTTCCCCGGTCGGCATTTGACACCTTACACACATGTGCACAGAAGCCCGGGTCCAGTTGAAGAGCTTTAAAGAGCAATCCTGGGCCTGGAATCGTAGTCCTTTCGAGACAAAGATGTGGGACGTAGAATGGAGAGGCGCGTGGTTGAGGGTGGGATGTGGTTGAGTCGACTTTCGAAATTCCCGTAGTGAGTGAGCTGACTAGGACAACAGTATGGGCTCAAGAAGGTTTAGGGTTCAGGGAATGCAGTCATTGCAGTGAGGAGACGTACTGCGAAGAGTTTGGGTCAAGGGTTAGGGGGGCTTCGAAGAGCACTAGCTCGGGCAGCCTCTTCCACGTCCCCAGCTTCAGCAAGTCCCTTTCAGGTGTCTCTATACTTCTAATTCAGCAACTAATTGTTGGGTTGTTGGGTTCGTAAAGACCTAATAAGACCTCGGGTAGGATCCCATTTCCTTGCCCGTGCTGCAGGCATGAGGGTGTACGCCGAATCCTAAACCCTCCACTACTTCAAAACAAATCGAAACCAAGCAACAGTGGAAAGCAACAGGCATTGGGCTAGAAAGCAACAGCGGCACCCGGAGCATGTCTTGCCCCCCTCACCCCCCTCTCCCCGCGCCCCCCGCTTCATCGAGTTGCACACCAGCCAAGAGGCAGAGAAGATCCCATACAGGTTGAGGGTCTGGGGTTCAGGGCCAAAGCCCTAAACTCTAAACGCGGGGAAATCAAACCCCAAGTCTGGTAAACTCTGCACCCGGAAGTCCTGAAAGGTACCCCGAGCCCGCGTTCGACTGCCGCCTCGCTCACCTCGCCGCTGAGCGCCAAGTCTGCGAAGCAGATGACGTTCCTCGGAGCAGGGTGGAGGTTTCATGCATGCACGTGCTGCGTGGGCGCGGAAGCGTGGGCGGGCGCGGGCGGTGCGGGCGGGCGTGCAGTTGTGCGCGCGTGCAGCAGTGCGGGCGGGCGGGCAGGCATGCGAGCGTGCATGCGTGCGTGCGTGCGTGCGTGTCAGTCAGTCTGTCCGTCTGTCCGCATGTGTGAGTGAGTGAGGGAAGGAGTGAGTGAGAGAAAGAGAGAGAAAGAGAGTGTGTGAAAGAGAGAGAGAGAGAGAGAGAGAGAGAGAGAGAGAATGTGTGTGTGTGTGTGTGTGTGCGCGCGTGGTTTTGTATGTTTAGATTTTTGGGGTTTGTCCTTTCCCCCGCTTCGGGGGGCTTTGACTGGAAGTTGTTGCGTCCGTGTTTAGGGTTGTGGGTTTTCAGCTTAGTGTTTCGGGTTTAGAAGATGTCAGGGTTTCATTTTCGGGCTGGGAACCCAGAACCCTAAGCTGCCAGAGCCCTAAACAAGCTCGAAACCCAAAAAAGTGCACAAGTAGCTCAGTTCATTCGGCCCTTCGGATCTTTTGCATTCTGGGCGTAGGAGGAAACGTAGGAGTACGTGTCAGAGAGTTTAATGGGTACGGGCCAGCCTAGACAAAGTCGAACAACCTGGATGATTACCAATGTCATCCCCTTACAATCCTTGTATAGGGGTTTACGGTATTAGGGGGTTCCTTATTGGGGTCCTTCTTATAAGGGGATCCGAGTATTTGGGGGTCCATATTGGGGTCCCCGATTAAACCCCATATAAGTATGATGCAAACTACCCGAGATACCCATTGTCCCCAGCAGCGGCGGAGTCTTTGGGCTTGGGATGGGTGTTAAGCAACAGCCGCTTTCAGAATCGTGTTGCCTGGAGCCCCCCTTTGGGATGTTCCCGCTGATACTAACAGTCCTTAATAGGGGATCATTGTACTTGAAGGTTCATGGTACTTACTAACCAATTATAACTGCACTTATAACCCTACTTATAATACCCCTAAAGGGGGCCTTATGGGGGTTATCACAGTTATAAGTAGGGTTATAAGCCCAGGTATAATTGGTTAGTAAGTACCATGAACCTTCAAGTAGGGGGTACTGTTAGTCAAAGGGGGGACCACCCAAGATGGAGTTGCACAAGGCTTGGAAACAAAGCATGCCACACCCTCCTCCGCAACCCTAAACCCTAAACCCTAAACCCTAAACCCTAAACCCTAAACCCTAAACCCTAAACCCGAAACCCGAAACCCTAAACCCTAAACCCTAAACCCTAAACCCTAAACCCTAAACCCTAAACCCTAAACCCTACCCCCCCCCCCCCCCCATGCAACAAGCCTCGGGAGGCTCAGGGGCACGCCTCCCCCGGGGAGCCCTAGCGGGTTCCGGCGAACCCTCCAGAGCCCAGTCACGGCGAGCCCACGAGGCGCTTCAGGGGTTTAGGGTTTAGGGTTTAGGGTTTAGGGTTTATGCAAGACATCGTGCACATCCGATGATCCAGAAGCACGCGACTTGTTGAGCCACCACGGTAAAGACTAAGCTATACATACAGAGATCACTATCGGGCCTGTCTGTGGGCCTTCTCAGCTGACTTCCAAACTTCAGACGGATCACCAAGCTGTAAAGGGCACTCCAATAGGGAGTTTCGTATTGAAGGGATGACGTACTGCTTTCCAGTAGCCCCCTCCTGTCAACATTAACTGGACCTCCTGATCGAAAGACCCATCCAAAGACCTCCGTGGTCTGAAACGAATTCCGCACCTGTACTCTGACACCCACTCTCAAGAGAAAAGTATCCTGCACAGTTGGAATACCAGCACCAAGGACATGCAGTACATTCCGCAAGATATGGCGGAAGGTTTTGATCTGGCTACCCATTGGCTGACGATGCATACGAAGTGTATTGTGCTAAACCCTAAACCCAAAACCCTAATTAAGCCCCTTAAGTGCCCGAATATGGTCATAAGTACAGTTATAAGTACAGTTATGTTTGGTTTATAAGTACCGAAAACTACCAGGGACTTACTCTCTGATAAGGGGGGTTTCCGAAAATGGGGGTACCCTTTTGGGGGTTCCTTTAAATAGCTTCTATAGTATTTCTGTGTATATAAGGGGTACCCCTATTTGTGAAAATGCCACCCTAAACCCTAAACCCTAAACGGCCCTAAACCCTAAACCCTAAACCCTAAACCCGAAACCCTAAACCCGAAACCCGAAACCCGAAACCCGAAACCCTAAACCCTAAACCCTAAACCCTAAACCCTAAACCCTAAACCCTAAACCCTAAACCCTAAACCCTAAACCCTAAACCCTAAACCCTAAACCCTAAACCCTAAACCCTAAACCCTAAACCCTACCTACCTGGACCCAAAGGCTCTTGCAAGAATTTGAGACCAAAAGCGGTCTTGCACCAGGAAATGCGGAGTCGCCATCCAGTAAGATGGACAAACATAACGTAGAGCTCAAGCGATGACATCCCATATTCATCCACAACCCAGTGTTGCGATTGCAAGAATCCCTCCAGAATAGATGAAAATGCAGCTAACATATCCCAAGAACGCGGATAAGCACTGGACACTTGGGGAAGATGTTGGGGTACTCGAACATATAAATGCCGAAAAAAAAACCTGCACATAGACTCAACCGATGTAGATTGGCGTAGATGCGCCCCCGCGCCACGTCTAAGCATTGTACTATCCAAAGTACACTTTGCAACATCTGTATGGAATGCATGTACAAGGACAGTCTGTTTGTCCCGTTGATCTACCATGTCATTCTGAAAGGCCAGCCATTGTGGATGGCCCGACTGCATAATTCTCCAGTCTTTGTGACTTTCCACTCTATATATCGCCCACAGCTGTAACCACAAGTCAAAGTTACCGAAACACCAATAAGCTGTCTGTATAGATCACGCCACTGCCACCAGACATGATAGCAGCAATCACGGCTGTAAGCTCTGCTCTGTTGTTGGACTGAATTGACCCATGAAGGCGTGCTCCAAATACCTTCCTATATTCAATGGAGGTTCATGGGCACTTCTATAACCCCAAATTATAAGTCCACTAAGAACCTACTTAGAGGACTTTGTGGGCTTATACGTCCAGTTATGGTTGGTGTTCTATGTACCCTGAACCTCCAAGTAGCATGTGCTCATCTACCAATCCCCCGGCCCTAAAGCCTTGAAGGCTAAACTACATATCTGCGAAATGCTGGAAACAAGCCCTAGACTCCAGCCCTAGACTCCAAAACCCCCGAAAGCCCTGAAACCCTAAACCCTAAAACCCCAAACCCTATAAAGTGGGTTGTTCCCCCCTTATCCAAACAGTCCTTAATAGGGATTGTATTAGGGGGTACTAGAATCCCTATTAAGGACCGTTGTTTCAGGGGGAACATTCCAACCTAGAAGCCCGAAACCCCTAAAGCCTGAATCCAGAGCGTGCAGGCACCCTGTCGCCTTTGGGGGACACCAGCACGTCCGATGGGCCCTACTACTCGGTCGTTGTAGGCTTCCAGCGGTTCTTCTCAAGATGGCCCCCCGACGCCCCAAATTCTAAGCCGCAAAACCCTAACCCCCAAACCCCAAAACCCTAAACTAAAGGCTAGGGGTTCGGGTTCGGGGCTTTGGGTCGTAGACCCTCAACTTATAGGATCCCACCTTGCTGCACTACCAGACCCCCCCCCCCAAACAAAAAAACCTAACACCGTAAGAGGAGTTAGGGCCAGATGGCCAGATGGGTGACCACAAAAGGTTTAGTAACCAGCTCACAGCTGCGGCATTTCAGTACTCATTGATGTTTAACCTGCAAGCTGATAGAACCGCCTGATGTCCGAAGCAGCCTAAACCCTTCCCAAGCCCCTTTCCTCTCACCTAAACCCCTCTCACCTAAACCCGAAACCTCCCAAGCCCCTGCCCCTCCCACCTAGACCCGAATCCCCCCCCTTGTCAAACCCCCCAAGCCCCGACGCCCCAAACCAGAAATCCAAAGACCTCTTCGCAGGCGAGTCGCCCCCTCCATCTCCAGGTAGTGCTTCCTTTGGGGTTCCCCGTCTGCAGCATGGGGCTGTCCTAACGTTACTAGACTTTTTGGGCTTAAGTCGAAAAGGGCTCTAAGGGCGTCTAGTCTAGTGGTCTAGGACATTTAAGGATTTAGGGATTCATGCTTTTTGGGGTTTTTGTGGGGTCCAGGGTTCAGGTTTTTCGGGGGTGTTCTGACATTGCAGTCTTTGGGGGGCTCGGGCGTCTGAGCTTCGGGAGTTGGGGGTCTGATATTCCGTACGAAGGGTTGGCAAAGCCGGACAAGCGGTAGAGGTGATTTCGATGAGAAGGCCTTCGGGATTCGACGACTTTTTGTACCAGCATCAAGAGAAGCAGGATGTAAGTATACCATCCCCAGCTCCCGTTCCATCTACCCGAAGTCCTCATAGATCCGAATGAACCCACACCCGAAGCCCTAAGCCCTTAACATGAATCCTGAACCCGACAAGCCTCAGAACCCCCAAGCCCTAAGCCTGAACAACAGCAGACAGCGAATCCTCGCCTGGCTTGTGGGAGCGGTGTACGGATTTTACGTCGATGTTGCAGGGTTGATGGTTTAGCGATTTGCTGCTAAGAGACATAGAAGCCCTGGCCCCAAATGCTCAAGCTTGACAAGTCTGAAAGTTCCACACCTCAACCTGTACTTATAACTTCTATAGTACGGGCCCCCTCGAGTGCCCTCACATGGTTATAATTGGGTTATAAGTACACTCATTGGGTTAATAAGTACCATGAACCTCGACCCTCAAGCCTGAACCCTAGGCAAAAAAGGACCACTTCCAAATTCCCAGTCTGAAAAGCCAGCCAAGGTCTGGCGCCGCAATGGAAAGAAACAGCTACCCGCGCGCGTCCGGCATCAGGCATGCCCTGGACCCACTTAATGAAGGACTCCACCCTAGCTTTATTTAGGGTTTAGGGTTTAGGATTTAAGGTTTAGCTTTAAACTAATGTGGAGGTCCCTGCTAAAGCCTGCCTTATTAAGGGGTACTGGGCTCTCAGGTAGCATCTATCATCGAACCCGTTATGAATAAGACCCAAGATGGGGCTCTCAGTGTTTCCGGTCTGTAGTATAAATTTAAACCGCAAATTCCCTACAGCAGAACCCTTGTTAGAGAGCCCTAACTTGGAGGTTCATGGTACTTATAACCACTTAGAACTGTACTCATAACCCTCTTATGCGCCCTTTAAGGCCCTAGCATGGTTCTATCTGAGTTCTAAGAACAGGTCTCATTCCAAGTAAGAACCCAAGTCCTCATCTCCGTAGACACCTTTGGATTTAGAGTTGGGGCCGTTTGCTAAACGCTAACCCTAAACCCTAAACCCTAAACCCGAAACCCGAAACCCGAAACCCTAAACCCTAAACCCTAAATCCGAAACCCTAAACCCTAAACCCTAAACCCTAAGCCAAAAAAACCCAAAACCCCTTTGGTTGCGATCCCGGAGCCCAAGCACCCAATAACCACCATGCCTAAACCCTAAACCCTAAACCCTTAACCCTTATCCCTAAACCCTAAACCCCAAACCCTAAACCCTAAACCCTCCCCAGGTCAACTCCCAACGGCAGATGACGGAGCTTTGGGGCGGCACTTGAACAACAGTGAACCCAAAGAGCCCAGTACCCCTTCGTTAAGGACCATACCTCCTTAGTCAAGGACTATACTACTACCTCCTCAGTTAAGGAATATTCCTCCTTAGTTAAGGAATATACCTCCTTAGCAGCTGGGTGAGCACACTTTACACTCTTAGGGTACCATAATCCCCAATAGAACCGAAAGTGTACACCTTTTGGGGGCTTTTGAACTCAGCAACTAATTCGTTAAGGACTATACTTCCTTAGTTAAGGACTATACCTCCTTAGTCAAGGACTTGACCTCAAAAGGGTTTAGGGTTTAGGCTTCAGGGCTTTTGGGTTTGAGGGTTTTGGGATATACCTTTGAATCAGATTAGGTGTCACCCTGCACCCTAAACCCTAAACCCCAAACCCTAAACCCTGAACCCTAAACCCTAAAAGGTGTGTTCCTTACTTAAGGGGTTTTGGGCTGGGGAAAGGGGTTGGGGATCTACGGGCTGATGGTGTTTGTGTTGGACATCTTTAGAGTGTACAGGGTTTAGGGTTTAGGGTTTAGGGTTTAGGGTTTAGGGCGAGATTCAAGCTGGGATTTCGGCGGGTGTGATGTCAGAAGCAGGAGCAGAACTGCAGCCGACCGATACCTTTACGCACAAGTAGACCTATCACGTGAAGCACATTTCCTCTCCCTAAAGGTCGGGCTTAGGGTTTAGGGTTGAGGGTTTAGGGTTGAGGGTTTTAGGGTTTAGGGTATAGCATATACGTGGGCACTAAAGCTAATCTACGGGAACCTCTCTAAGGCCAAGTATATTCTGCATAGGTGCGTGGACCCTTAGATTCTGCTGCAGGCTAAATCCCTAAACCCGAAATTCTACAGGGTTTCGGGGTTAGGGTTTAGGGCTTAGGGTTTAGGGTTTGGGGTTTAGGGTTTCTGGCATGCTGCGCCGCAGACGTGCAAAACTGTGCCCGTAGAGCACGACGTGACGTTGACAGCCGCGACACAAACCCTTGAACTCCCGAAGCCCAGGCCCGACACCTTGTAAAACCCTTACAAACCCCTATGAACCCTGTAAACCGCCATAAACCCTATAACTCCTATAACCCCTAAAAACGCTTTTAAACCCTCTAAACACCTATAAACCCCCTATAACCTCTAGAAACCCCAAAAAAACCCTATACACCCCCATAAACCCTTGCAAACCCCTTTGACTAACCCCTGTAATTCCTGTAAACCCTAAACCTTGATCCAGTACTCTAAGCTCCCCAAAGCCAAGACAAGCTACAGGCTTCTAGAGAAGATCATCCTCGAAGCCCACTTTCAGGGTGCAGGCGGGGATTTCGGGTTTAGGGTTTAGGATGAAGGGTTTTGGCTTTAGGGTTTTGGGTTCGAAAAGGCTTCGGGAGTTCAGGCACAAGTTGTGTGATGAGTTCACCCCAGAATGGTTATTCTGAATATGAACCATGAGCATGAAGCTGCGAACCCTAAACCCTACACCCCAAACCCCACACTCTAAACCCTAAACCCTAAACCCTAAACCCTAAACCCTAAACCCTAAACCCTAAACCCTAAACCCTAAACCCTAAACCCTAAACCCTAAACCCTAAACCCTTGGATCGGGTGAGCGTCTGGAGTCTGAGTTGGCAAAACCTTGGCCCGCCCTTCCGCGATAGGCAGCCTGCGGCCAGAGATGAAGGACAGGGTTTAGGGTTTAGGGTTTAGGGTTAGGGTTTAGGGTTTAGGGTTTAGGGTTTAGGGCTTAGGGTTTAGGGTTTAGGGCGAGGGTTCCGAGGGTTTCCAAGGGTTCCAAACTTTCACTGGGGATCCCGAATAGTGGCCTGTGAAGCTTTTGCTCGAACGATAGCGGTTTGCAGTGCTCGCATCCAGCGCCTGAACCCTAGATTCTAAACCTCAAGCCCTGCATCCTAAAACCATAAACCCCTTTTTTGTATCCGGCTTTCAACCCTAAACCCTAAACCCTAAATTAAGCCCTAAACCCTGAACCCCAAACCCCAAACCCCAAACCCCAAACCCCAAACCCCAAGCCCCAAGCCCCAAGCCCCAAACCCCAAACCCCAAACCCCAAACCCCAAACCCCAAACCCCAAACCCCAAACCCCAACCCTAAACCCTAAACCCTAAACCCTAATTAAACCCTAAACCCTACACCCTAAACCCTAAACCCTAAACCCTAAACCCTACACCCTAAACCCTAAACCCTAAGCTGCAGGAGCGCCAGCTGAAGGCTCCGCATCGCGAGCCCTGGCTCCCTGGCCCAAGTGCGGTCTAGGGTTTAGGGTTTAGGGTTTAGGGTTTAGGGTTTAGGGTTTAGGGCTTAGGCTTAAGGGCTTAGGGTTTAGGGGTTTAGGGTTTAGGTTTTGGGGATATTTTCCGAGGGGTTGACAGGCCAACCTATTTCCTTTGGTTTTTACATCACACCCATACACCTAATGAGCTGCGATTTAACAAAAGGGTTGGGTTCCACGGGTAATGCAGGGGACGATCCACACATAGGGTTCAGGGAATCGGGGATTTAGGGCTTAGGGATTTCAGGCCTTTTTGGGGGGGGGATTTGGGCATTATTAAGGTTTTTGGATGTTTTAGGGTTTAGGGTTTAGGGTTTAGGGAGGTTAAGGAGTTAGGGCTTTGGGGGTTTCAGGGCTTATCGGGTCGTCTCCTTCCTTTCATCTACGCTGACATAGAAGCCGTGGGGCAGGTCTCCAGGGCACCTGCCCTAAACCCTAAACCCTAAACCCTAAACCCTAAACCCTAAACCCTAAACCCTAAACCCTAAACGGTCAGTTCAGGAATGGACTTAGACTCGGAAACGGGCCATGCTTAAGAGGATGGCCTTCAGGGCCTTTAAGGGCCTCTAAGGGAGTCTTGGGCCTGAACTCCACCAGACTCTCGAGCTGCGCCAGCTTGCCCTAAACCCTAAACCCTAAACCCTAAACCCTAAACCCTAAACCCTAAACCCTAAACCCTAAACCCTACACCCCTAAACCCCTAAACCCCTAAAGCCCTAAACCCCTAAACCCCTAAACCCCTAAACCCCCAAACCCCTAAACCCCTAAACCCCTAAACCCATAAACCCGTAAACCCCTAAACCCCAAACCCTACACCCTACACCCATAAACCCTAAACCGGTGAGCCCAGGCCCTGCGCAGAAGAACTGAGCAAGCAGGACCGCGCCGTTTCCCAAAGAGCCCAAGACCCCCTCAATGAAGGATTCCATCCCTGAAATCATATTTTAGGGGCAAATTATAAGGAGTATACCAGTACACCTTAAATTTCATGAGGATCCTGAAGATGGTCTGAGATTTATTCGTTCATGTGTCCATCAACCGAAGGGGCTGAGTCTAGGTCCAAGGCCTCAGGGCCCCGCGAATCTTTCCTGGCGAGGCCCAAGACACCCAGAGAGCGGCCATCGAGATCTTGCTGGAGCAGAGCCATGCTTACGGCGAGAGCGCTCTGGCACCAAGAGCCTAAACCCTAAACCCTAAACCCTAAACCCTAAACCCTAAACCCTAAGCCTACTGCAGGAGGTTGTTCAGGTGGGTCTTTCCTGGCCCTTGTCTCATGCCCTGGATTGCAACCCGAGACCTGTAGCTTTTTTTAAACATTTGCAACTGTGTAAAAATTCAAAGGAATGTTAGAAACAATGTTTCCATTGAGGTTCTAAGGGGAGTATAGAAACCCGAAACCCAAAACCCCAAACCCCAAACCCCAAGCCCCAAGCCCCAAACCCTAAACCCTAAACCCTAAACGCTAAATCTCAATGAGGTGTCCAAGAGGCGGTCCAAGAGGCAGCCCACGCGGCGCCGCAACTCGGCCTATGTGGTGCCGTTCGGAGACCTACACTAGGCCTCACCCTCGACCTGGACCATACCCAAAGGCTCCTATGTAGTACCTTTGGGGTAGTATACTATAATCCTCTATAACTAACCCAAAAAGGGACTACATTGGAGCCTTTGGGTAGAGAATACAATTGAGGGAATCGGGTTTTTGGGCTTTTTGGGGTTTCAGGACTTTTGTGACGCGAAGTACGAAGCCACGAGTAACCCCTAAGCTCGAAGCCCTAGACATCCCCGAAAGCCCGGCAGAAGTGCGCAAAAGGCCAAGGAAACGGGCGCCTCGCAATGGACTCGACAAGTCAACTGGGATCCCGGATTGCCGTTCCATTCGCCCCAGCGTTTTTTGCTTTTCGAGTTTACCCTAAACCCTAAACACTAAAACCTAAACCCTAAACCCTAAACCCTAAACCCTAAACCGTAAACCCTAAACCCTAAACCCTAAACCCTACTCCGGCAGCATGTCCATCTTTCCCCACGTGGGTGCTGCACAGGGTTTGCTTTGGTGACTGCTCAGCGTGGGCAGTCCCGGCAGGCCGGGGTTAGGGCTTCAAGATGCCTTTAGGTTTAGGGTTTAGGGTTTAAGGTTTAGGGCCGAGTTTAGGGTTTAGGGTTTAGGGTAAACTCGCCGGAGTAGGGTTTAGGGTTTAGGGTTTAGGGTTTAGGGTTTAGGGTTTAGGGTTTAGGGTTTAGGGTTTAGGGTTTAGGGTTTAGGGGGTTAAGAATGTAAGAATATGATCGCATCATAGTATAATGAGGCTACCAGACTAAGATACGAATATTATAACCTAAGGGTCTCCCGACATACGAACATCATACCTTCATGGGTTCCCCTATAGGTTCCCTCCATCATTAAGGCTATTTAGGGCTAATTAAGCCCAATTAAGGTTATTCAAAGGGGGAGCCTAGGGGGGGGAAGCCCAAAATCCAAAACCCGAAGTCCAAAACCCTAAACCCTGAACCCTATATTAGGGCAGAATGATGTAGGAATCCGAGGCCGACGAGCGAGGCGGCGCCGGATCCGACGGCCAGGAGCAAGCTGTGGCTTGGCGCGGCACTGGAGACATTTGCGACACACCGATGTGGGCGCGATCCTGAAGGTTTTTATGGGGTTTAGGGTTTAGGGTTTAGGGTTTAGGGTTTAGGGTTTAGGGTTAGGGAGGACCCAGAGACCCCAATGCGGACGCGTTCACCAAATTCGAAGGCGTCGTTGCTTTCGAACTTCTGGGTTCACAGAAGTGCGGAAGCAGGCTTCCCAAATGAGCTGTCGTCGCTTTTGGACTTCCTGCTTCTTCCCGAAGAGCCTAATACCACTTTATTACGGAATGTGTCTTAAACCATATAGGGATCCTGAACATAAAAACTAAGGACTAAGGAACGTTCAGGGTTTAGGGTTTAGGGTTTTAGGGTTTAGGGTTTAGGGTTTGGGGCTCACTGGGCTCTTGGCGTCTGCTGGACGTGCTCTTGACCCATTGGAATGCTCTGGCATCCCCGCAGATTCTCACTGTTTGGGGTCTACACTGGCATCTGAGGGATATGTACATGCATATATATATATATATTTATATATATATACAAATAGAAATAGAAATACAAATGCAAATAGAAATATAAATAGAAATGTAAACAGAAATATAAAGTCAAATACACATACATATATGTGTGTATGTATGTATGTATGCATGCAAGCAATGCAATGCAATGCAATGCAAGGTAAGGTAATGTAATGTAAAATGTAATGTAATGTAATGTATGTGTGTGTGTATGTATGTATGTATGTATGCATGCATGCATGCATGCATGCATGCATGCATGCATGCATGTATGTATGTATGTATGTATGCATTGTGAGCAGGTCAAAGCATGCATGGAGTGCTTGCTTAGTGCTAGTGCAGCGTGTCGTTTTCCCTTGCATGTGTAGTTTTGCAATTCGTAACAATGCCAATATTTTTGGCTCAAGTACCGAGCTTGTGCCTTTGAGCACGGTAGTTTCGTACAGTAGCTCTTAGGTTGCTGTGCGGTCCGACCGGACGCACTCAGGCGTAGCTGCACAAGTGCTTGGACTCGCGAAGTCGTAAAACAGCGTGGCCGGGCTGTGATTGCATTGGCTGAGTGCAAGTCCAGTGCTGGTCGACTTCACAATTGGGGGCCGTTCTGGGAAACGTACAGCTCTTGTGCCTACGGCCCGAGTGGGCAAGCATTGCTTTGCTTGTCTGTCGCGGTCCGTGACCTGGACGCGTGGACTGTGTGCCACGCTTGCGGCCTGTTAACCAAGGCGCGGCGCTTCGTGTGCCACGCCTGCGGCCTGCTAACCAAGGCGCGGCGATGTCCGCAGAGGTTGCAGGTCAGGCCGAGGGCGTCACCCTCCTCGAAGCGATCGAGGGTGGTGACGTTCCCTATCCCGAGCGGATGAGCTACGTCGCTTGGCTTAAGTGGCGTAGGGAGACCGGCAGTCGTCCGTTGTCCAAGCGGGATGGGGTTAGCACAACGCCAGAGCAGGAGGCGGCTCTCTGGCGAAAGGTCATGAAGTTCCTCCACGACGCCGAAGGCGAGGACGAGGAGGAAGAGGAAGAAGAAGAGGACTCCGAGCTAGTCCCTGAGGCCTCGGGCGCTGGAGGCGACAGTCCGCCGCGGGTGGATGTCAGCGCCGCGGCAAGGGAGCTGGCCATGGTCCCTACCGGTGCTGCCTATGTCCCTGCTACGGCACCAGGGTCCCGCCCGGCGGGACCGTCTGGTCCGCCGTCGACAGCAGGTTCAGTGCCAGGCACCGCAGAGGGCTTGCAGGCGGAGCTGCGCGCGATTTTCCGTCCAGACCAGGAACCGGTCGCGGACTACTTGACGCGCGTTTCGCGGATTGTCCTCGCGCTCAAAGCGCATGGAGTCACGGTGAGTTCCCGTGACCTTGACGCCTTGAGCACCAAAGCCACCCTCCTTGCGGATGAGTTCTCGAAGATAGGCGGGGACTGGCATCCGACAAAGATGGTCCGTCGGCTGCGGACCAGGTTCTCGGTCGCGGCTTTGCGCGGTGGCGAGGACCCCGAAGACGCAGAGGAGATTCAGCGTGAAATCCAATGCATCGGGGAGCTTATCCTCGCGCTAGGGGGAAAGGAAAGCTCGAGCCAAGAGAAGGTTTGGAGCTCCCCGTCCGATGTGCCAGTTGAAGCCGTGGGGCCGCGTTCCCCAGGGCTCCCACAGCCTGCGACTGCAAGTGGGTTGGGGGTAGGTTTGGACCGTGGAGGTTTGCACACTGCCGAGGTTGCAGGTGGTCCTTCCGCGGCCCGTGACCTGGGCGCGACGGACGGCGATTCCCCTTTGCGCGCAAAGCTCGCGGCGCTGGAGATGGAGATAGAAGCCCTGAAGCGAGGTTCAGACGGCGGAGGTTCGCAGACCGGGTCCCAAAACCCGGCGGGCGATTTCGCCGCCGCACTCGCCGCCCAAACTGAAGCGCTGAAAGAAGCGTTAGCGCAAAGGGGCGGGCAAAGCTCCATAACGACGGTCAAAACTGACCTCACGTGGCCGACGCTGACCGACGACAAGTCGGACGCGCGAGACGTTGTCCTGTTCTACGAGGAGTTCGAGGACGTCTGCGCGCTCGCCAACAACTGTCGCGGTATGAGTGCGCGCGAGAAGCTGCTAGCGCTACGCGGGCGCTGCCGCGGCTCGCGCATGAAGACGTACACGAACGCCTACCGCGCAGCGTGGAAGTCGGGAGAGGTTCTCTCCGACCCACAGGCAGTGTACGACCGCATCAAGAACAAGCACTTGATGTTCGGGGAATCGCGGGAGGAAAGAGAAGTCCGCGTGGATGGTGAGCATGCCTCCCTCGCTAAGGGCAAGCTCACAGGCCACCAATTCGAGCCTTTGTTTGAGGCGTCGATCGCGGACCTTGAGGCGGTGGGTCTCGGGAAGACCCCACGAGAGTTGTACCTCTCGTACCTCCGCAAGATGCCCCCGTATCTCCAAAAGGAGATACGTAACGACAAGCGATTGTGGCCCGGCGACCCCAAGGACGGCGGGCTGAGAGGGCCGCAGACTTGGGAGGAGAGCCACAAGGTCGTCTTGGAGTACGAACAGAGGGAAGCAGCGCACCGTGCTGTTTCCCACTCTGTGTACTCCACGACCGGCTCTCCAAGCGCGGACCCGTCGGTCGCGCTAGCCGAGGCTCAGAAGGAGATTCGGAGCCTCAAGGCCGCCGCTAAGGCCGCTGCGAAGGGAGCAGCTGCCGCGGCCAAGGCTGGCGCGGATCAGACGTTTGCCGCTGCGTCGAAGGGAGCTGGCAAAGGGGCGGACAAGAAGATCTGCTTCCACTTTCGCGACCACGGGAATTGCCCGAAAGGGGATGCCTGCCCGTTCAGCCACGACAAGGAGCTTCGCAGAAAAGCTCTCGCGGCTAAGAAGGGTGACCAAACCTTTGCCACGGCGAAAGGCAAGGGCAAAGGGAAGGGAGGTGGCAAGGCAAAGGCCAGCGCTAAGCCTAAGGCTGCGGCCAAAGGCGCGGCAAAGCCACCAGGCACTGTTTGCCCCTTTTTCTCCAAGAATGGGTCGTGCAAGAAAGGAGCCAGCTGCGACATGGTCCACAACCTGACGACCTCAGGAGGGACGCCGGCCTTGCCTGCCAACTGGGCCGCGCCCTCCGGGGCTTCCATGTCCAACCCCTTCGCCGCGTTCAGCGTCCAGATAGGCAGCTCAGGCGTCCAGGCAGGCGTCTCAGGAGCCGCAGGACGCGTCGCGGTGCAGCAGCACGCGCTTCCGTTGAGCAAGGGTGGGCGGGACAAGTTCGCCACCCTGGACGATCTGCCGAAGGACTGGTGGAACCTGGCGGACAACGAGCCAGGAGGCTACCAGTACAGAACGGTAGTCCAGGTGCTCGACCGTAAGGTCGAGTGCATGCTCGACGGATGCGCCGGCGCGAACCACGTAACCGAGGAACTTGTGGTGGGCATGATGAACCGGGCTGCAGAGCTGGGGATCGGTACCGAAGATCCCGGCTTCCCGGTCGTGAGGCTCGAGAAGTGGGTCCACCCCGAATATGTGCATGGCATTGCTTCGGGAGCCCCCGTTCCTCTGAAGGGGGCAGCAGTCTTGCGCGTCACGCTGCTGGAAGGCAGGACGGCGGACGACTGTCGCCCCAACACTGAAATTTTCGTGCGATGCAAAATCGCAGCCAGGGGGACGTCCGATTGGCACGGACTGATCCTCGGCGGCAGAGCGTTGGACTGCGCCGGAAGGATGGGCCTGGGCTTCAGGCCGGGTCCCGACTTTCACGTCCTCGACACGCTGGGAATCAGGATGCCCAGGTGCGAGGGTCACAGCAAGACCCGGAAGGACAGGGCCTACGCCTTCGAAGCGCGGTTGTCGAGCCTGGACGACGCGTCATGCACCGAGCCTGGGGGCGGAAGCCGGGAGCTCCTCCGCTACGACGGGGAAGAGCCTCTCGAGCTCTCGCCAGGCGACGGGGTGCTGGTGCCTGTCGTGCGGGAGCAAGGAGTCTCCGCAGAGGGATCCCTGTCCGAGGTAGTGCTTCCGGTGGAATGCGGGGTCGAGGCCGTACCAGGCCTTTGGCCCACAGGAGAGGGAAAGGGGTTTGTGTTGCTCGCAGCCCAAGAGTGCGATCACTCTCTCCAGCCGGGCGAGGTTGTTGCGGAAGTGCGTTCCGGCCTCGTAAGCACTGCGGCCTGTGGTTGTGGCGCGGTTGAGACGGTTTTCGAGTCGGAGCCGTCTCCGCAGGCATGTGCGGATTGTGGGGTCGCCGTTGCCTCGGTTGGCCACGACCCGTGCTTTGCTTGCGGGTCCGCGTCCAGGGCCGCGGCAAGAAGCTTCCAAGGTTGTTCCTCGTGTGCGCGGTCCTTTGGGCGGCTGCGTACCGGCGCCAGGATCGGTGTGCTATCGGTCCTTGCTGCGGTGACTGTTCTCGCTTCGGTGTGGGGCGGGAGCGGCCCAGTTGGGCGCCCTGTTGAGGAGCCTGGAGTGCTTTCTTGCTTGGACCACCTTCCAAGCGTCGACAGCTGGTGGGAGGCGCCAGGTGGTTACGCGTCTGTGTG